TCTTTAATTCCTAATTTATTACCTTCTCCCCACCTAGAGTGCAGCTATACTCATGAGACTATCCTACCGGGCCGTGGCTGGCTACGTGGCTACCACTGGGACGTCCTCTGTTTAGAGCTTAATGATATATTATTTATTGTGCGCAAAAAGTAAACCTAACCCCCGATCTAGGGCTCTATGATGTTCCTCAAGGTTGGTGGGTCTGCACGTTGGCATTTGTATCATGCTGTCAATAACCCCCTTTCAACCCATGAGACATAAGGTCAAGTTAACTATATTTATATTAATCACGCCTTCTATATAAGGACGAACGGGTCGTCGCGGTGATTATTCCTAGTGTGACCGAAGCTACATCTGCTAAGGAGTAAAGAAATACCAAATGTCTTCCGAGTTAGGATAGTATATGGGGTCGAAGAAGCGGACAGTTGTTCATAAGAGACTCGGTAAGAGTGATATTAAATAGAAAGCTGTTAATTCCTATCTACTGATACCTATAGTATTTAGTCTAGTTATATCAAAAATGATAAAAGTCACTAGAAGAACCTTTGTGTTATATATTGTCTTGATACATGTAGAATAACCAGATCATTGCCCACCCATGCTATGTCGCGGATAGGGGTTGCGCGTCTAGTTTGCTAAAGCACCCATACGGTCGCTACTATCACTGACAGCGATTAATCTTTCTAGGACATTATTGAGAATATAAATATACTCTCTACTCACTCAAGCATAGGTATATAAATGGGGTCTCGGGGGGGTTACTATTTTAGACTACATAGTTCCATAGCCTCATAGATATAAATGCCTCTTAACGAGCTAAGCCACAATATATATCGTACTGTAAGTCACCTACTGCCTCAGCTAGATGAGAGAGCCGCGTGGATTTCTTCCATAAAACTCATATTTACCATTGGGGTAGCAGTGGTATGTCGATAGAGACTTGTAGCGACTATGTCCCAAAGTGCTACATAGATTACTACAAGTCGAATCAAGTGAAATTATAAGATACCTAATTGGTTTTGTTAATAGGGACCTTCCTTTGAAGACATTTACTAATACATTTCATAGCCCCTTTGAATTGGATATACCCTGGAATCGACTTGGCTTATAGCTGGTTAACGCTTTAGAGCCTAATCTCGATCAGAGATTGTAAAGAGAGTGGACGATATGCTCAAATCCACAAGATCTGAGAGAAGTTCTATCGCCTAGATGACGACCGGGGTATTCTTTATGAGTCAAGTTCAATTATTAAGGTCCCGATCGTGAAGATTCGGTACTTTTGGGCTGCCGGTGTCTCCCAGATTAATATCTAGATAGATATGAGGTTGACCAGAGATGGTGCCTCCGATGCTTCTGTATTAAGGTGCCTCTTTTTCTCTACCTTCGCTGATGTGTTTACCTTTATCGGAACGCTTACCTGGCCGTGATGGAGTTCTGGCACGTCCTCCTTATTCCTCCATCATGAATAAGGACGGTATCAGAAGTCTATTTCAAGATAGATCTAGCCGGCCAATCTATCATCTAGTAGCTTTATTGCCTGTCCTATTCCCACTAAATAATCTTCGCGACGATATTATCTGTTCAGCTCTGTCGGCAGAATGAATGGTCTTTAACACTACGCGCCCGCTGATAGTATGCCATTCTAAATCATGCAATCTCCTCGTCTAGCTCATACAGCAAGTATATCTATAAAAAAAAAACCCTTATTTATCATCCAAAATTCAAGAAACCCGTCTCTTACCCCTTTTAATTTCGCCGGTCGAATAGCCTAATGCTAGAAAGTATCCAATAGATAGGCAACTATTGTTAAGTAGCAGCTCTTGAACGATTATGGCGACTTGAAGTTAGGAAGATTCTACCGAGAGAATCAGAACTATTCCCTTCGTCATATTCTTACCCCGGAAATAATGGACTCTGGTCGACGTATTAGTAAATACCCGGTTTCCCTGTGAGGCCTAAGATCTGACCCAATTATGACGTCTTCACGAGGCCTTAGGGGCTCCCGCTGGTTAGTCTAGAAGTTCTCAACCACACAGCCGTCAGGTTATCGTTCCGGCTCCTGGCCCTGCACCCGGGCTATCTGTCTCACAGATGGCACGCGTTATTTACAGCATCCATCCTAAGAGAGCTCTTAGTATCCGACTGATGGTTAAATACCAAACCTACGAGTTAGTGATTTAAAACCATGGCTAATCATATAAAGTTTATGGGGCTACCCCTTTGCCTTTCTCATGCTTTAATCATATATATTTTACCAATCTACCTCTCAAAACATCAATCAACTACAGAGTAATCTACTTGATATGATATAAACTGACCCGTTTCAATCGTAGAAAGCTGTCCGCGCAATATATATGCCAATCTCAATTAAATATCCACTGGCCAGAGAATGACCCCACAGCTATGTAGTTCACAACTAGTTGACAAGAGATAGGTGTGCCCCTATTGGGTTCCATTCTGGAACCATGGCCATATATTCAACGATACTTTTGATAAAGATAGGGGATAGATTGGGCTGACATCAACGCCCCGATGACAGGGGCTTGTTAGAACCTCGGGCTACTGAGGATGCCTAGAGAGTACGGGCTATGTATTAGGATTGTAAATGTGACATTTGAAAAAGGGGGGTCTTCTTAGCATGCACAGCACTGGCCTCCGTAGATTAGGCTTAGAGTTCCTCGAAACAACGATGTCGTTTCCACGCCTTATAGGTCTACTCCATACTATTACAACGCAAGAAGAATATCCTATTAACCGCATAGAGCACATGTCATAGCTGGAGTTGGGTGGCATACACTATTCTGTTAATCTGGTCAAGGAACTACCGGAAAGGGGTTTACCTAGACCCCTGGTATGTCTATCGTCTAAGTAGATAGTTCCCGTCCCATCCATAGCCGCCGACCTTAAAACCCGCAAGTACACGTCTGCTTCCTCACCCAACACAATGACTCACCAAGTTCACCATCCCTAGTTCTCATCGAACATGAACTAGCCGGCGGGGAGTAGAAGACCTACTTCCGCGAGGAACCTCCCGTACCCCTAGGAGTCCTAGGTCCTATGACTGTTCTAAACCGCTACTTGATAGACGGATACGTCAGGAGAAGAGTTGGGGGCCATATATGACAGACGGTTTATGAGTGTGTAATTTGGAACCCCGGCAGAGATCCACACAGTCGACCTGGCATCGAAGCATATCTGCCTAGTCTTTAGCCAGCCTTACAGCCACCAGTCAGACCAACAAGCAGCGCCATGGTCTCCGACGAGCCTATATTTAGACTCTCGATCGGCTCCAGAAAAGTCCAGCACCACCTATTCCACTTACCGACAAGCAGCGGCGTTCGTTCTAACACACCCTCCCAGGTTGACCAAATCACCTACCGGTTCCAGTATCATTCTCAACAACCGTCCCGCGCTTCGACGGCGAGAAGACTACCATGTACGTAGGACTCATCACTACGATATAATGGTACAAGTGGAGTCAATAAACAGGCAGCTCTTCAGCTCACAGGGATACATGAGTCAGACAGACCAGACATACTTCTAAGAAGACAAGGCAGGACAAGGCAGATATCTAACATAACTAACTACCTTATGCGCAGACACGGAATCTTGTACCTACCTCCCCTAGCGGAACGAGCCGAAAAGCCTCACGCGTAGCTTCTAAGCCAAGATAAGCGAGATCCTGCCGATCTGATAGTTTTCCGATGAGCAGGAGAAAGATACCTACCTGCCTGCTACATAACAAGACTTATAGAAGACACAAAAAGGCCACTACGTACGGTAGTTAACAACACCACTCTCTAGGTACTCACCAAGCCCTCCCTCTTTCCAGCCGTGAGCAAAAAACCCCAATGTCAAAAAGAGGTCCGAGCGAGCCCGCAGGCACGAGACACCTAGGCCATGCGAGGCTGCGGCGAGACGAGTGGCGTAAGTAAGCACCTAACCTAACCTAACCTATGTATCTTATACGTTAGGTAGGTATGTACATACCTAAAAAAAACCCTAGCCATATCTACATCCATCCCATCCCATCCCATCCCATCCCATCCCGACCCGAATCCACAACGCGTCGTTTCACATCCGCGTGGGGGGGGGGGCCAGTCCCGTCGGAACCAGGATAGGTAGGTACGTAGTATGTTTTCTCCCACGTGCGAGAAGAGCGTCGGGAAGGGTTTGTCTGCTTTCTTGCTTGTTTAGGGGAAGATACATACACTAGAGATACATAGCATCTCAGAAACCCTCATCTTACACGCATGTGTCTTTGCCGCAGACGTACATATAAGGGATATAGATAGATAAGAACGCAATACATAGTAGCTTCCGACGAAGAATAATACTCTCGCCTAGGTTAAGGTGCTATGAATATAAAGCGGCCGCTCCGTGTGTATTATACTACACAATGTGGTATAGGTTAGGTAGGCAGTTAGTTACCTGCTAATCCTAAAGAAAATACTCTGAATTCCGTTCTGCGCGTCTTGAAAAATAAATGAAAAAATAAATGTCAGTATCTTGACGTGGATCCTATGAGGCTTTTATTAAGCGGTGTCTTTCGAGGTGCAGCGGATAGTCACAATAACGGGACTGATAGGTCCCACGGTTGGGGCACAGGGCGACGATCGGGACGAGGTTGGTCGTGTCGGAGAATAACCATCTTCTTTGCTCCTCTCTTCCAGAACAACGTGTCGATTGGGACTAGCTACCAGGGTTAGGATCTCGCGATTGGGATTGTGAGGATACATGGCTAGGTCTAATAAGGTGGTTTAATAGGTTATGCTATGGCATTCGGATATAATATATCACGCACAACCCACGCACGCACGCACGTAAGCGCACACGCATATACATACATCAAGTATGTACGTACGTAGGGTATATATCCAGTATTAATATAATATATCAGAAATATATCAAATGAGAGAAAATGCAATAAGCTTCAGACAAGCACACGCAAGGAGGACAACCCCGACTGCTCAGTCCGAATAAGAATTAAAAGTTACGGCACGGAATATTCAGGAGGAGGAAGAGGAGGAGAAGGTAAGGCATACAGACAGACAGACTACTGCGGCCCTCGTCACAATTTTTTTTTCGCCTACCCCGATGCGATGCGTGACAAACGGCGCACTGCTACCGTTTCTACGGGAATCCTCCAGCCAACTGCGCTTTTGCGCCATGTGCTGCCGTCCGAGAGTTGTCGACCGAAGCGGCACATACTTTCTGTCGAGTCCGCACTTGCTTGCTTGTTTCTTTTCTCCCATTGGTATATACCTTACTTGCCTCCCTACCTAAGGTATGTTGGGTATGTATGTATAGTCGCGGTGCTCGAACCCGCCTTCGTGATCACGAAAGCAGCCGGCATCGTCACATTTGGGGTCTCAGGTCTTGGCAAGCAAGATCCCAATCTACTTACCCGTCGGCGAGGCCAGGCGCGATCTTCATCTACTTCCGCGGGTGTGCATGTGTGCCTATGTGCGCGCGCGTGCGAGTATAGGGATGTATGCATGTATGTATGTTTTTGCCCGGCTGCCGTTTGCAGAGAAGCACTTAAACATTTGTCCCCGGTGGATGGCCACTTCGGCAGCGGCCGTCCGCGTCGCGGCAGGCAAAAACAAAACAAAAAACAAAGGCTTTTCCCATCTACATCCTCACCGCCGGTCGAGGGAAAGAGGTTGGGGTTGGGGTTGGGGTTGGGGTTGGGTTGTTCTTATTCCTAACGTAGTAAAGAAGAAATACCCCCTCCTCGTTTCTTCGTATGCTATGTTATGTAGGTATTTACCCTGCAGTCAGTTAGTCAGTCTGTGTGCAACTCATAAACGTATATATTATATCTCCATCCGTCTGCCTCTAGCGGGATCGAAACCCCCGTTGAGAGAGAAGGGGCGGCGGAGGAAGGTCTGGGAACTCGACTCTCGACTCTTGACTCTTGACTTTCGACTCTCGAGTAGGAGGTAGTATGTAGAGCGTTACTGTATGTACGAAAGAAAGGAACATTGAAAGGTGCAATTTAATAGTAAAAGGTCGCGGGCGCTTAACTGGACCCGCAAACAGCCAATAGCGAGCCGAGAGCCGAGTTCGAACCGCTGCATGACACACCCCATGGCCCCCCTTAAAAGCTAAGGCTAAGGTCAAGCCAATGGGGTCGCGACCTCGGGCGATGGATCCAGCGCTTAAAGAAGATTGCGCGCCGACTGTGGTAGTTGAAAGTTTCTGTCCCAGTTTCGAAAGGGCGAACGCTAACACAAAAGCGAACTAATCCGCTTTTCTCTTTGTGTCATAGTCTCTTTTCCTTCCTTCCCCCCCTTGCCCCCCCTTGCCCCCCCTTGCCCCCCTGTCATCCTGTCACCCCTCGTCGAGCCCCGCAATGCAAGTCCCAGGATGTCGGGACGCACAAACCGACCAATCGTGTGTAAAAGACCACCGCAGTCGGGCGTCGCGAGTTACCCAGGTACATATAAGACCTACATATACATATTGTAATAGGCAAGTATGTAAAGTCCAAGTAGTGTAAGTGAGTAAGTAAGTCAGTAACCTAGTAGCCTGCCTCTAGCATAGCACCGTGGCAATATTTCTAGACTCCGGGTAAGAGAACGAGTGGTGATGATGGTGATGATGATGATATAGTAAGAGTAAGAGTAGCACAGATATACGTATTGTACATAAACACGGGTAGAAGTAGAATCAGCCGGACTCTCGAACAAAGCTGCCTAGCATCTAAGTAATATGCCGTGTCCACGAGGCCTCGTAAGTCACATCCGTTGAAACAGCCATCTCGTGATAGCATAATACGTAATATCATAAGAAACATACACACACACACACAAAGACGAGAAGAATAAAAAGGCAAAAACAATGTATATGTGTGGACGATCTTGGTCAAGCACTTCCTCAATCTCGGTTGGCTCCCTACGTACCGCGGACAGTTCGCGTGGTCGCAAAAATAACAAATAAAAAGAATAACAAATAACAAAAGTCCGTATGTTGTGCGAGCGTATGCGAGCGTGTGAGAGCCAGAAATCTAGAATACCTACCTACCTACCTACCTACCTACCTACCTACCTACCTAACCTAACCTACTAACCTACCTAACCTAGCGAAGCGGAGGCGGCGGAAGGAGGGCCACCAACGACGACCGCGCTCTTGACCGAAACTTGGCCCAAGCCAAGCGACGAATCGTCAACGCTTACGAGCCCAACCTCCCGGCCGCATTCTAGGTCGCCTTAGCGGGCAGACAGGAAAACAACGTCCACCGTCCGTTTACCGTCTGAGACTCCATACCAACTCCATACAAAAATCGGAAACCCCAAAAACCTCCCCCAATACGAATACATAACAACTACAGATAAATAAACAAACAAAAAAAAAAAAAAAAAAGCTCACGGAAAAGGGAAATCTCTTCACGTCGGGGCCCGCCTACAGAGCCAATTCCTCGTCAAACACGTATTGATATTGTTTGGGCACTAAGCTCTACTAAGCTAAGGGATGCCATGTAATTGCGTGAATGTTGGCTACACCAAGTGTCGACCCGGTCCTATCCTATCACACAGTAACCTATCGGTACTTGCTTGCTTGTTTTGCTCCCTCTCCACGTTCCTCTTGGTCCCCTTTCCACACAAAGGGGGCCGCCACTACCACCACCACCACCACCACACCTGAGCCTATAGAGAAAAAAAAAGATAATAATAATAATAATAATAATCCAAAATTCCGTGGTATCGCTGCGCAAGCCTCCGATTCCCAGGATTGCTGATGCCCACCAGCAAAACGCCAATAAACTCCATCATAGTTTCTTAACAGAAATCCACCCAAAATAATCCCCCCCCTCTTTGTAATGCCAGATACGCCATGGATCTAGATCGTAAGAAGCCATAAAGTCATTTCCACTGTTTTTTTTAGGGATGTTGCATGGAGATTAATGGTCCATCGATCCCAACAGTGGCTTCGTTGTTAATTTGATACTGATAAGTATATCGGAGAAGGAGAGAGAGATAGAGAGTGTAAGTGTAAGTTGGTAATTGCGTGTGTGTGAATGAATGAGCGAGTGGGTGAGTAAGAGGGAGTGATAGATATGAACAAATGGAAAATAAATGTCAATTCCTGGCGTAAAGGCCAAAATAGAATTAGGGGGCGAGGGGGCGGTGCCATGACTTTAGTTCGTTCGTAGTTGAGTAATTCGGTAAGATGGTCTAATCAAATGTCTAGACCGTGTTCGTTCGGGCTGCTGCTGCCGCCGCGGCCGCTGCTTGGACTTTAGAGCAGTCTAGATGCGTTGTCTTCCTCCGCTTGCCTTTCGGTGCCGGCTCCATCTTTGGCGTATATGTAACGGTCCTCGTAACAACTTCCCGAATATGACGTACACTCTTAGCTGACGGTTTGTGTGCTCTGCAACCCTGCGAGTACCTAGACTTCAATGCCGCCTCCCAGTCAAACGGTGACCGTACTGATCTTGCGCTGAATGGAGATCGTGCTGTTGAGCTCAGTGGCGAATCTATCGTTGATACAGCGGGTGATGGGGGCATGTGAAGGCTCGGGAATGATGTCACTCCCGCTGGTGGTGCAGACATGGGCTGACCCGGAAGAGGGCTTGAAGGGATACCGGCTAGTGACTTATGGTTACCGCATTTGCAAGAACAGTCCGTCTGTTCGCTGCTTGCGGTCGATGGGACCGAATCCTGAGTCGAGTCATCTCTAGGGCTGCTCGTTCCCGATCTCTTCCCCGCAATGACTGGCGAGGGCATCGACATAGCCTTTAGGAAATCCATATAGGCTGTAGGTGGAGTGATGGGAGTCTTTGCGCTGTTAGGGAATTCCTCCTTGATAAAGTCCGGGACGGCGGAGAGAGGTGTCTTGGCCGATAGAGCAGAGAGCTCCGAAGGGAAGGTTGCCGTGACCGGCGTTTTCAACTGCGCGAGCTTCGGCTTGGCTGAAGGCATGATGATGATGTCTAAGTGGTAGTTAAGTAGAAAGTTGGTAGTTGAGTAGTTGAGTAGCTTCAAGTCAAGTGAATGACTCGGAAGGATGAGAAGCCGGGGTGCCTAGGAGCTGCGGAGAAGTCGCCGTGATAGAGGAAGAGTCGAGAAGATGTGCGTCGTGGGTGAGAGGGAATGATGGTTGTTATAATATGTAACTCTGGCGGGTCAAGGATAAGGTTGCTGCGTGGTGGACAGGGATGATGGGAAGGGCAAGCAACCGTGGCAGAGTACCTAGTCGATGCTGAGACAAAGGCGCCAACGGGAAGCTAAGCTACTTCCCGGTTAGGGACGCTAGAATCGATGTGACAGATCCAAGGTAGGGCCAAGCTAGGGGGGTGTGGCTCCAGGAGTGAGTCCCCGGGTATGTATGCGAGGGCTCGGACGGGGTAGGCGTCTGTTCTGGCGACAATAGGTAAAAGTACCTAGGTTATGTAGGTAGCTGTGTTTATTACCCGTGCGCGCTGTAGACGGATTCCAGTAGATATTCGAACAAGGAAGGTTAACTTGTGGCCCTGCTGGTGGAGAGATATAAAAATAATAACAACAAAAAGTAGTCAACGTTGGCGCGAAGGGTAGAGCAAGGTCAAGCTTAGTCGAGGACAGCGGCAGTAATGGGCCAGTGGTAAAAGTGTAAAGTGAAGGCGTCTCAGGATTGGCTGCGGATTGGCTACGAATAGGCGACAGGGATCAGGTGCCTTTAAAGAACCAACCCTTTTTATAGCTTCAATTGTATATACGATTGTAATGTACAATTGAGTAATTGCAGGTATCTTTTTTTTCTGTGCTGCTGACTCTATTTCTTGATCAGCCTGATCAGTCTAGGTTGTGTTGAGCTGGATCAAGGTTGTAATAGGGAGGTATGTAAAGAATTGAAGGGGGTATACACTAGACGATATACGTAGGAGACGAGGACTTGACTTACATCCTGCTTAAAATGATTCACCCCGAGAAAATAAAATAAAATAAAACAAAATAAAAAGGCTCCCAAAGGTATAAGTTACCTGTACTGGGGTTACCGTCGACTTAAGCCAGCTTTGTTTAAGTGCGAAGCTAATCTTGTATCTGATTGGCTAAAGGCCCCCCGTCGGTGCGGTTTGCCAGGCGCAATATCCCGGGATCTCGCTGGTGAGTTTAAGTGGTTCGGAGGTATTCGGTACTTGGGTTTAAGCGCTGCCGCTACTGTGTATTTGCTATATTTGGCTCCTGATTAGCGCCGTTCCGTTGCCCACTCTTCTGATTTGATCTTTCCCCTCGGCCTCTCCCCCCCTGTCTTTTTATTTCGCTTTCCGTCACGGAGAACAACCACTTATCATCGCCAATACCAAAATCATCACCATTCACGACTCACCTTAACTTAAAACTTCAGCGGCAATAAAACCCCTGTGGCTGAGTTTACCACAGTAAACCGTCGTACACAATACACACAAAAAGCAATATTTGTGTTACTGTCAGCTTTCCACCTGATAATTCTGGTAATTGGAGGTTAAGCTGAATGAGCTGAAGGGTGGATCACGGGATGACCGTCGATATGTAGTGGTGTCGTACGTGGGTAGAGGTAAGATATTTTCAGAAACGTTGTTTCAGGTTGTTGACGAGTCTAGGCAAGACTCTTCCCGCTGTGTATTTGTATTACTCAACAGTTGCTATTCAAAGACATGATCGTGAAGCCTGGGGACGAGGTCTCATTTATGTACAGATTTCAGTCATATCTTGCTTTTCTCTCTAATCTTTAACCATCTACAATCTTTAAGCCATGCTTTTCCACACCATTCACCATTCTTCTTGCTTCATCCAGCGCGCGGTTCGCCATGCCTGTTTTATTTTTCTCTTGTTTTGTTCAATTAAAGGTCGTGTACTTCCCATGAATAGATCCTTTGTCTTATTTTGCGGCTCCTGGTCTTAGCCAGACTTAAGCGGAGCGCGCGCCACATGATGCACGACATAGATCGAAGACATCCTCGAGCTGTCGTTGGCTAGGAGGTTCTCAACCGAGTCTGTCTTGGGGGGATTGGAGTCTACGATTTACCACGAGAGCCCTTCCAAGTCTCATATTCGATGCCTCCCCAGCGCGCGCTTCTACGAGGCTGGAGTATGGGCGCCAGCCAAAAGAGGGGTCCGTCTAGTCATGGCGTTGGAACGCGAGGCCATCAAAATGATAAACAACTCTTCTAACTCGAAGTGAAGTTCGTCTAGAAACCTTCTATGCCAGTCAGATTTGCCAAGTGACCCAATGCTGTGGAGGCGCCGTGCCCCCATCTAAGCGCCGGTTAACCTTGCTGATTCCCACGCCAACTATTCCTCAAAAGGCTTCTCCTTAGTCGCCCTTGCGCGCTTATTGTATAGCTTCGTCGGCATGGTTGCTCATGGTTTCTAAAGATGTTGGTTTCGTCGCTATCCTGCAGGAAACGGCTGCGCCTAACTTGAACATTAGTGCACGAGCTAAGGGATCTCAATATGCAGACAATAAGCCGTATTGGAGATAGCTCGGCCATGTCATCGAGTGTTGGTCTTTAGCTGTAACCGGATGCCGATATAATCTTTAGGATGACGAACAAATACCGGATCCTATGTTGAGCGCAACGTGGATCTCACCTGGTCGTCAACAGAGATGGAGCTAGTATGAGCTAAGTGTGTGGCGATTATCGCAGTGCCGATGTCGTGGAGTTGTTTGTTGTTGCTTTTGTTAGGAGTAGAGATATCTTTATTGGATTTTAGTAGACGATGCAGAATGCCGCTGTAGCATTCGAATTCGCCATAGGCTAGAATGGCAATGTCGAGCATGGACTACTGGCTCTAGTGCCTACACGGGATCAACTAGATCCTACTCCATGAGGTCATGCATCTGTTAGCTTGTCCAGACAGACAAGGCTCTACAGGTAGGCCAATCTACGCTGGAGAAGGAGCCGGTGCCGTCAACTAACCGGGTCGATCTCTAGGATCTCTGTTTACATTTTGCTCCAGAGTGCCCTATGACACGCTTCTACCGTATGCCTGCTTAAGCGCGTAGAGAGTTACGAGCAAGACTAGATACGTGGCAGTCATCTGAACTATCGCGGCAGTTATTCTTACGCGTACGATTTCTTGAGCTGAGGTATTGGTAGGTATACGTGCGTATAACTCTGTTCTAGCTGTTGGCTACTGCGTGTATATTATATTTGCCACCGGTGGAGGGACACTTACATCGCCTTTCTTCGCCCTCGAGAACGAACACCCGGGGTTGGTAGCGATTGTGAGGTCGTTACCAAAAAATTAAAGGGGTTAGGATATATACCTAAGGACACACCTATTTAGAACAAGTACATCTTGCCTTAAGGCATATGATGAGTAGGTATATCGACGCATCGTCATGTACTCCGCGCTTCTTTCGGTTACTCGGGGATCCACATTGGTATTCAATACATGCATTCGAGTCGCAGGGCTCCGCTTCGTGAGTTATTGACCGCCATTTTGTGAGAGAGGCTGTAAGTAGATAGAGGTGAAGGTGAAATATTCCCGATTTGTTTTTAACACTGTCAACGAGACCAGCTAATTAAGAAATTTCGCAGACGAGAGCCATGAGTACCTACCTAGACGACACAGGCCATATTCTTGAGTAGATAGCTACCCATTCCTGACGGTGGCTACTCGTGCGATAATGCTGATTCGTCTGTCGTTTTACCGCGATCTCTAGATGGGACAACACCAGCTAATCGGAACGCGTCGGTAGTAAATCATCTCTTCCCTGGTTTGCGTCTCATGTAAGTCTCGCATGATTTTGAAGCTGCATCTAGAGCATATACACAGATTGCTTGAGGCGAAATTCCGACTTATTCGTGGATGTCCCGTATGTACATGCTCGCATCCCCCACGCGTGAACGCCACCAAGGCGCCACTAATAAAGCCATCGTGGAGAGAGATCTAGCCTTTATCTCTTCTGTTTTCGTTTGCGCCTTCATTTTACTGGCTTCTGTCATCTCCATTGACCTCCCTGACTTCCTTTGCCACGGCATTGCATAAAGCTACCCTTACGCCAGCGCCGGTAAGGACGTGAACCCACAGCCTCTGCGTATCACTGAGACGATCATTGGCGCTCTTAACCTCAGCGAACATCACTTCCTTGCTCGGTTCTGCCCTCCAGAGGATCAGGTCTGGTATGCCACCACCTCTCTGGCCATATTCCTGTGCCATGACCTTGCATATAGCGGCTAGTGCTGCGCCGTCAAAGCAGCCGGTCAGTTCGAGGAGGTCCTCCAACTCGTAATCCCAGTTGAGGCCGACGACACAAGTACGATTATCACGTTCCCGCCGGCCGACCTCCTCGACCAGCTTCACCGCATCACCATTTGCGATCTCGACCAGGCGGTGATTGATCTCGGACGCTCTGGTGGGGTAGAAGGCGTCGGTGTGCAGATCCAGCGGGCATGTCTGGTACTCGGTCTGAAAGACATTCGGTATGTAGAGGAAGAGTATATCGAAAAAGAGGTACGCGAAGAGCGTCCTTACGATACCTCCTTCAGCATGATAACCTTTCCAGCCCTGATCCCTGTACCAACTCAAACACATGGCTTCCACACTGCACTCGCCTCCACCTTCAGCCTCGTCTACCCATATAGTTTTAGTACTCGCACCCCTTCCCTTCTTGCCTATTACATCGTCCTTTATCAGCTGAATTCCTTCGACAAAATGCTCTTCGGGTTTCTGCAGTCGGACGTGACCGAAATCATGTTGTAAACGTTTCGGAATCTTGAGCTGCTTCTCAAGTTTAACCAACCTTTTCTGTATATCATAATGATAGATCATATGACAATCTCGATCCTCCAAGGCGGTTTCACAGGTAGTCGCTGCAATGCGTTTCCAATGCTTTTTCTGCAGGTCCGAATCCTTGTAGGTAGGATCGGTCTCCAAAGCATGCATGTAGTGCTCCTCCAGCAGAGCCTTTCGTTGATACCAAGAACCCCGGCGAGCCAAGTGGAATAGGTGCTGGTCAAGTAACTCGGTCAGAAGTGCATGTTCTCGCTGGTGTTCTTTCAACCGGCCAAAAACGTGGGCTGCTTTATGAACGATCCGAGTGTATGGATGAGCAGGATTGAGCCTCCTCAAGTAAGCACCTTCTCCAGATTCATAGATTCTCTCCTCTTTCTCCTGCTCCTCCCGAAGAAGAGTCTTCCATCTTGGGTATATCTTCTCAAAAACCTCTATCACCTTTCGGAAGGCCACCTCTGTGACGGGTCCGTTAAACTCCAAAATACTATCAACGGCGTATTCATTCCTCATAGCTGTCTCAAATTCCAACAATTGAGCTCTCGAGTTGAAAATATTTGCAGACCTGCTAACGACGTATTTAGGGAAATTGCGCTTTGATATCTTCGCAAGGATAATTGTTGTCAGAGACTTCTCTGTCCATTCGGTAGACCTATAAAAGACTAGGTGAACCCTCTCGAATAATTTGAAAACGGGTAAGGAGAGCCTTATACAAGGCCCAGTTATAGCTAGGATTTTATCTAGGAAATGTTTTCTCCTGTTAGAATCCTCACTAGGATCTGGAGCTGGAGAGTCTATCTCTGGCGTATCACGACCTGGAGAGTCGACAGAAGCAATAGTGCTAGACCGCCTAAGGCCTAACGAAAAGAGACCTGCTTGTTGATTGCTCATTCTGCAGATAGATCTTGCAAGCTCGGTTTTGTTCTTGCCTTGCACCCTGGCCTCTTTAGCCAAGGTTTTGACCTCATCTAAGCTTAGGAGCTCTACAGCTTCTTCGACACTGGTAATATACTGCTCTGATGTATCTGCAAATGTGAAATTGCCACTAAACAAACATTGATCTCGAGCCAAAGAATCAAGTTCCGGACCCGCAGATACGAAGGCAGGACCAGGACCCGAAGAACTGGCTGGTAAGTCTCGGTTCTCCTGTAGTTCACTAACGGCTGTTTCGGTATCTGAAATATCATCGTGATAACGTAGACGAGCGATACGGTGCCACGATGCAATCTTCCTAAGAAATAGCCGTACGTATCTGCAATTCTAGGTCAGAAGAGATAACAATAGAAAGAGGAGCCTCATAAGTCACGTACAGGAATTGGGCGTCATAGCTTAACTTATTCCATTGACCAAAAATATATATTTCCTTGTCATCGAATAAATGAGATTCCTCGGCGAGAACCGTGACAAGAGCGAGGTTAAAAGCATCAACATAGAGCGACGTCTTGCCTCTCACCCACTTCCTCGAATCTAGTCTCGACGCAGCAGAGGCAGAGCCCCCATCGTCTTGCGACGCTCTGAAATTTTCATACTCTTCCAAGGCTTCTTTTTCAGACTTGGTCTCGGGCAGCGAATCCTCAATGGCAGTCCGCCTCGATACGCCAGCTTCTGCATCTACTTCTGCCTCTGAATTCTGCGGGGTATCATCATCAACAAGCTCCGAAACTAGAGTATCTGCTCGCCGCACCACCGGCAAGCGCTTCAACGACGGACTCCCAGGCCGAAGGTCTTCATCTGATTCCTCAGCGCCCACGTGACCCTCATTCCTCTTAACCCTCTTAGAAGGCGGCTCATCCGTCGCATGAACACTTCCATCTTTCAATTGGGGTGGTCTCCGAATAAGAAAAGCGTCCATTGTCGAACACCCCAGAGGCGATGCATCTTGGATGAAGTTGCAGGGAGAAAAAGAGAAAAGACACAAGATGACTTCATACAATGAAACGCGTGGCGGGACGCGGATTCCCTTAGTGCAGGGAACTAGAGTGGGAACGCGTGATCACGGGATTGAGGTTTGTATAGGGAAAGTACCTCCTATGCATCAGTACGGCCTCTTACTGCTTAGAAAGAGCGACATATACTGTACCTCTATAAGGTAGGTACACCAGGTGCACATCCGGATTACTATATCCAGATTTCCACATCCCAAGCTCAAATTCCCCACGAACCCATCAACCATCACCATCACCATCACCCCAACAATTCTTCCTTTCTACAGCTGCAACAGTAACAGTAACCCGCTGTAAAATGGCCGACGAGATCCGCCAGACACCCGTTCCAGTACCTCACGTCTACGGGCAACCAGCCCTGACAACCGACACAGCAACACCACCAACAACAACCGCATCTTCTCTCGCCGGAGACACAGCCGCTATGACAATTGAGCAACCACCTCTCGCTCCCAGCACCGAGCAAGCAGCAGTACGTAGTCCAAGCTCCACGTCTGCCTAACGCACAAACACTTCCCTCCCAAACCAAACCAACCAAACCAACCTCACCAATTCGTCTATTAATTTATCCATCTCATCCATCAACTAACCAACCTTCCCTCTCCTCGTCCAGTCCCCAGCCCCTACTACCACAACCACCACAACCAACAACGCCGCCGCACCCACAACCACAACCGCACCCGCGCCCGCAACAACGCCCTCCAACGCACCAAGCCCCAGCCCAGCCGCCGCCGCCGCCACCACCACCACCACCACCGCACCGCCCGCCCGCACCGGCACCCCCCTCCGCGCAACCAACGGCCAGCAAGAAGCCAATTCCTCCTCGCGCGCCGCCTCGCAGCACCCGGACCCGGGGTTCACCATGCCCGCCGAGGCCCCGCCCCACGGCGCCCCCGTCCGCCAGTACCTCAACTCCAAGGTTACGGGTCCGTTGCTGGACGGCATGAAGATGATTGCCAAGGAGCAGTAAGTTTTTCTGTTTTACGTTTTATTGTTATTGAGAATTAGGATTAGGATTAAGATTTACTGTGTGTCTATTTGCCCATGTCTATTTACTTGCTTGGAGGATTGCTTAGAAGCCTACTTACTTTGGCTTGAGTACGGGTTGCGCAATTGTGGATTGTGATAATACGGATGCTAATGTTACGTCTACGTCCACAGGCCCAAGGATCCCCTGCGCGCTCTGGGCGAGTACTTGCTGCAGCGCTCCAAGGAGCTCGAGTCGACAACATAGTGAGGGTTAAGCCAGGTAGTAGGCAAGCAAGCATGAGAATGGAGTTCTGGGAAGGGAAAAAAGAATCAATTATGGCATTACAGATTCTACATTATAGATTTCGTCTTTCACGATGATACCATTGCTTTAGGAACGAACGATTGCTATTAGGAGGACTAATATAGACTTGCTGGGACATTGCAGATTCTAGATTCACCGAAAGCACTAGGGATCAAGCAAATAATTAATACTGTTGTTCTTCACGAGACTCGTATTGATCTCTTGTGTAATTGTTTGTTTATTCATCGCCCTTCTCAGGCAACTAGTAGAATAATCAGGCACTCATCACTTTGGTGGCTGCCCGAAAAGCAATTCCGTTTTCCACGAACTCCATGACCAGACCAGGCATTCCACATGCAAATCATCCTCCGCGCGCGCGCTCGTTGGTTACGCTTATGCGACGATGGTACTGGCGGTGGCGCTCTCGTACTTCCAGGTCGGGGGTAGGACACCGACGGTCTTGTAGTAACGAGCGAGACGGTGGATTCGGGACTCGATCAAAATCAGGCGGAACTTGGCGTCCTTGTCCTTGCGGTTGCGCTCGAGGTGCTTTCGGACGGAGACGGCCTACGTAGTGTCGTCGTTAGCGTTTTGAAATAACATGTCTTATGAACGGCTCGACTCACCTTCTTGATCAACATGTACAGATCCTCAGGAATCTCGGGGGCGAGGCCTATATGAAGATCGCACTATCAGCCTTGACCAACAGCGGCATTATTATATACTACGGCGTTCCAAGAACACCCATGGTATTTGGTTTGTTGGACTGCGCAGCATTTCGCTGGCTTCGAGGGGAGGGTCCATTCATGTCGTACCATTTGACTTGAGGATTCGGAGGATCTTGTTACCTAGATTTCGGCATTAGCTACTGTTAAACGCGACTGGTTGGGGTAGTTTCATCATACCGGTAACTACGCGGACCTGGGAGATTCCGTGGGAGTCACGGAGAACGACACCGATCTGAGAGGGGGCAGCACCCTTACGGGCGAGGCGGCAGATCTGCTCCTCGACCTGGGCGGGAGTAGTCTTGAGCCACGCGGGCGGGGTGCGCGAGTAGGGGAGCGCAGAGGCAGAGATACCCTTTCCATTGGAGTGAAGACGACCCATTTTGGAGGATGTGTTTGTCGACTTGTGGTGGTTGTCGGAGTTGTCTGAGGTGGTGGTTGGAGATCGTGAGTGAAGTTTTTGGGGGATTTAATTTTTCGAAAAGATGCTGGATGAAATTTGTGTGTCGGCTTCTGCTGCCCTCCGGTGGTCAATGCACATCCCCACTCTTTCTTTTTTTGGTTCATTAGCCCGAAGATTTGCCGAATTTGCTAGCGCCTGGTCCAAACCAAGACAAATTTTCGTAGCTTCTTCACTTCCCAACTTTTTTCTTTTGGTCAACAATGATTATCATTAGCAACTTAACTCGGCAGAGGCACTTATCTATATATCTCGAGATCAGATTTGGAATCTATATTTTATAGATCAGCAGTGTCAAGTAGCTTTGCCTGCGTCGCGATCCATCATACAGGTAAGCTTTTCCAACTCTCTACTTTCGATTCCGTCTCCCTTTCTCATGATGATACACAACTACTTTATATTATTTTCTGGTACCTCTTATATCATCGGGCCCTCGGGTCTGAAATGTATTCAACGGACTTCTGACAGAGACGGATTGATCGCTTTTCGCTTTTTTTACATGAATCACGTCTGGCAATCGCAGCCCAACTAACATCGTGAGCAGGTATTTGGAGTATACGTATAGCGATAGTTGCATCTACGAGGATATCAAATGGGATCGCTGTCAAACAAGATAGAGCGACTCTTGGGACTAGATCAGCTCTTTTCTCATGACATCAAATGATTCTGCATCAATACTGTCTGCATCAACGCATTCCATGATTAATTGCCTGATCCCCTACTTATGTAGTGCCATGTCTCAGCTATGTATAGATTTATCTATCTCGTATCATGCCGTGCCAGTCATCATCATAGAAAGACATAGAGCCATAGTAAGAGAATATCATGCCATTCAAGAAGCCCGGCAAGTTTTGATTTGACAATATTGCTCTATCCACCCACACGTCAATATACGAATGCCTCCGGCATCTTTCGTGGTCTACCTAATATCCTCTCCTCGAAGAGTTGTCGAGTATGAAGTCGAAGCTCGAATAAACAGGCCTTGGAAATTATTATAGCTCTTTACCAAAAGGTTGATGTCAACAAGAAAAATATGCCATATTCTAACATTCCTCTATTATATCAATAGCCCCTACGTGTTTACGACCATATCATACCGAAACTACAGCCATTTCCCTGTACACACATACATATTACGTACATATTACGTACATACCAAAACGTTCCACTAGAGCCAGCCAAACTACTTTCATCCTTAGAATATGTACCGAGGAATACCAGATCTGTGAGCCGCAATATGCAGCCGGAGAATTAGCGTAGACACCCGAACAGTTCGCGTTCTGATGCCGAGGATTCGGCTTCGGTCTCGGTCGGACGGCGGCAGCTAGGACACACCGAAAATACGCATGGTATACTCCAAGAGGAGACGAACTCGAACCAAATTGTTCAGAGATTTCATTTGAATTTACTAACTAGGTAGCTAAAAATCTAGGAGACCGTTTTTACCCGAGCTCACCCGCCCCCAGTCATTCCTATCGTAACGCATTATTTGTGTGGAATTTTCGAGTTCCTGCCCATTTATAGGTTAACAGCCTTGCGGAAGTTCTCGCCGGCGTAGATGGCGTTGTCTCCGAGTTCCTCCTCGATACGGAGGATCTGGTTGAGCTTGGCGAGACGCTCGGATCGAGCGGGGGCACCAGTCTTGATCTGGCCAGCTCGGATACCGACGACAATGTCAGCAATGGTGACATCCTCGGTCTCACCAGATCGGTGGGAAACCATCACACCCCAGCCGTCAGCGTAAGAGTCCTTGGCAGCCTGGATGGACTCGGTTAGAGTTCCGATCTGGTTGACCTTTAGGAGTAGAGAGTTAGCAGCCTTAAGCTCAATAGCCTTCTTGATGCGGATAGGGTTGGTGACAGTCAGGTCGTCACCGACGATCTGGATGTCTTGGGTCTTGTAGAAGTAGCTCCACGCCTCCCAGTCGTCCTCTGCGAAGGGGTCCTCAATGCTGACAATGGGGTACTTCTTGACGAGGTCGCTGTAAAGGGCAGCAAGTTCCTCGTAGGTGATCCACTTGCTGGGATCGCTATCAGGGTTCTTGAAGTCCAGGTCGTACTTCTTGACATCCTCCTTGTAGAACTCGCTGGAAGCCACATCCAGAGCAATGTTCACCTTGCCTGTGTAGCCAGCCTGCTCAATGGCCTCAGTGATGAGGTCAAGAGCCTCAACGGCAGTCTGAATATCGGGGGCAACGCCACCCTCGTCGCCGACGTTGCCTGCAGATTGGCCGTAGTTCTTCTTGGCAAGAACCTTAAGCTTCTGGTAGACCTCAGCACCTTGGCGTAGGGCCTCGGAGAAAGTGGGGGCCTTGGAAGGGACAATCATGAATTCCTGGAAAGCCAGACGGCCACCGGCGTGAGAACCGCCGTTTAGGACGTTTAGGAAGGGAACGGGAAGGACATAAGGCTTCTTAGTGCCGGCAAGGTCAGAGACATGAGCGTACAGAGGCACGTTCTTCTCAGCAGCACCAGCCTTAGCAATGGCAAGACTGACACCCAAGATAGCGTTAGCGCCAAGCTTCGTCTTGTTCGGTGTTCCATCGAGGCTGTTGAGGAACTTGTCAACCGAGCTCTGGTCCTTCACATCAAGACCCTCCTTGATGACAGCGGGGGCGATGACGGTGTTGACGTTCTCGACGGCCTTGGTAACACCCTTGCCGCCCCACTTGCTCTTGTCACCATCACGGAGCTCGCAGGCTTCGTGTTGACCTATTATACCGTGTTAGTCCGTAAGATTATCTTGAGAGAATTCGTTATAATGGCACGAACCGGTAGAAGCTCCAGAAGGAACGATAGCGCGGTGAAGGCCAGTCTCGGTGACAACATCTACCTCTACGGTAGGGTTGCCTCGAGAGTCGTAGACCGAGCGGGCGTGGATCTTTTTGATAGCCATCTTGAAGTCCGAATATAGGTTGGGAGCTAGAGAAAAGCGTTGAGTTAGCTACGAAGGGTTGAAGTTGGAAAAGGCTTGGGAAGAAATACAGCGAGGGTCAAAGTAATTAATAAAAAGAAATGAGTTGACAGGAAATTCGCTCAGTAGGAGCCTTGATGAGTGACTCAATCCGAAAAAGTAGATATATGCCTCAAGAGTTGAGTATTGATAGAAGAAAAGTGTAGGGGTCGTCAGAAGTGGAGGGGAGAGGATGGTGGGATGGTGGGATGGTGGGATGGCGGGGTAGCTCAAGATGTCATCAATAGAAGAAATTGGGATATTGGTAGTATTGGTATTGGTATTGGCATTGGCATTGGCATGTGAACAAATTGTCAACAGGCTGAGAGAATGAAGCTTTGTAAACTTACTATTTTCAAAGGATATAAGTTAGGACTTGGTGTAACAAGGCGAATTGATAAAAAAAGTAGTAGAAGGGAAAAGAAAAAAAAGTTGAGTTTCAATACATAAGGCAAGAAATGCTAGAGGTAGGGTAGGTAGGGTAGGTAGGTACCTACCTAGTAACGCCTCGTTTGATGTACTATGTAAGTGGGCTGCTGCAGCGTGGGCTGGACGGACAACGTGAGTGAACAAACGGAATGGCACGACTTACAATTGGACCCAGCAATTGGCGGGGTCCGGCGACGGACCTCACAAGGATGACATCGGAGGAAGGAGGGGCTACTGTTCTGACTGTGTGCCACAATAACTGCACCATAGATACATGTCTTACCTGCCTCTTACCTGCCAAGATTACTTGGCTACAGGAGTACCCTCACAGAAAGTACCTCAACCTGTTACTCCGTGGCTACCTCATATGAGAGATTGTAAAGACTAAAATTGTTGGCTACATGTAGTCTATTGGCCCCCTTACCGGCCCGACACAACGTCCAGGACACCTAGGACACCTGCAGTAAGAGTTTATAACATACCTAACCTAGGCTCTAACCTACTTAGCTACTTTGCAAGGGCAGGGGGCTTACAAGCTGCCCTAGTTTTGCCCCTATTTGGCTGTCTCTCCTTGTCTCGCA